GCGCTTGCGGTGACGCTCCATCTCCAAACGCAAACAGGAGGCAGAGTGGTGGCGTGAGCTAGTGTACTGCGTAGCGAGGCCACATCATGCAGCAAGAAAAGACTCACATAGCCATGTGACATAAACACTGACGAAGTTGGAAACTTTAACCCCTGGGTAATGTGCACAGATCTTCATGTGTATATAGAACGTAAATTTCAGCGAGTGATCAGAAATAACACATAACACACAAACTGAGAATCTATTTTACTGACGCAATCTCAGTACCAGTATTCTCTCATATAAATCATTAAATGCCAGAGGTTGTGTGAATTGTATTGGAAGAGGGCGCCAAATGAAGCAACAACAGCCCAGCTATCGCTATCAGAGAGGACACTCGAGTTTCATGGCCTGTCATCTCAAAATCAAAAGAGTTTGTAATTATGGAAGGGGCCAAAAGAAACACAGTGGCACAAGCTTCATGAGCCTGTGGCGTTATGTTAGACTTGCAGGATAATGAAAAACTTAATTCCCTGTTGCACTGCAGCACTTTCATGATGCCGTTCCCCTGCCTGCCAATAGATGGCACTTCATGACTGCCAGTGAGATGCCCTTGAAGTGTTTTGACAGGATTTCTTTCTGTCAGTTATGTGGCGAATATACTAAATAAACAGAACTCTAAGACAAATGTGCTCCATCCTTGGTCAAGACAGATAGTTAATGAATTATTTGTGATAAATATATATATATTTTTTGCAATCGTATACACATAGGAACTAGCTTTCTCACAATCTGCATACATTCAGCACCTATATGACCTTTATTGCTTATATTTTTTGTCATGCAAAGTCTTGGAGTCTTGGCTACATTTAGAAAGTGTGGCAAATATGTTGTCCGTGGCACATGTGTAAAGATTTGTAGGGAGTGCTTCACATACTCTGTGCAAAAGACATACTAGAACGGAGTGTCTGTCTCCACCTATGTGGTGTTATATCAATACTGACAAAATTAGACAACTAGTGCTGATCGATAAGTCTGTTCCCAGAACAAATTATTGCCTGATGACGGCGTCCAATCTACTTATATCAAGACTAATCCGACACAAAGATCTCTTATATATCCGAAATCAAAAAAATTAGCTCATCATCAGTTCCCTGTCGACGTTGGCTATATCGACACCTACTTGCCTTGGTATTAGTGGTAATCTCTTCTTTCAAATGACGACACACAGATAATTAAGTGTATCAGTGTTTCCTCATTCACACAATTTTGGAGCTTATTTAAATGTCAGCACTGCGTTGCTGCAATGACCTATCGTAACCAGCTTGCGGACTTTTACCTCTATGGTCGTATAATCATTCTCTCACTTAGCCCATACTGGGGAAGCGCGTGCAGGCGATACCACAGCTCACACACCAACCTCCAAGCACTGTTGAGCGCAGGCGAGCGTTTCATCTTTTTTTTGCATCTAAGCTTATTCAGGCTCATACCTACTTTTCAGGGTATACAGAAACTCAAACAAAGCCTACTGACTGCCGGACGACTCGTTGTCCTACAATGCGCATACACAATCAACTATCTCAACCAGTGAGACGAGTGGACTCAAGAGCGCCTGTAAAAGTAGGCCAGGAACACAAACCCACCAATGCCTGCCCAACGATCATGTACAGTCATGTCTGGAATATATTTCAACGGTTAGACGTGCAGAACTGGATCTATTCAGCCGTTACACACAAGATTCGAACAACTTAGTGTAGAAATTCCGACTGTTGCTCACTTTTGTCTACACTGATAATCTGGCCACAGTACTTCAATGCGCAAAAAAAGTATATGAGAGAACATAATTCTATCCTGTGAGTCTTTTGTTTTGATCTCCACTGAACCCATTGATACAAAGTCATATTTAAACTGGCAGAAGATTCGTGTAACAAGTGAAATAATTCCTTGTCAATATTCGTCATGTAATTAACTGCGCCACAGACGCGTTACATGTGCTTTAGTGTAGCATCTTATGCACATTGCTATTGTCACTAACAATGGAGACGCTAAAACACCACACCTTGGCTACCTACACCTACGAAGCGTATAAATACCTACAGCCGCCTACACCTCACTCCTGTGCTCGGTGATTCTGTCGCGTGCGGTTATCCTCGTCGATCACGTAGCCTACTGTGAGAATCCTCGTATCTCATCCAATGTAAACATTGCAAAATTAAGTCCCTGCTGGCGTGTCAGTCATCACACTTCTCATCTGGATGCCACCTAATCTGCACAGCCCATATTTGCGTCGTCAGAGTCCCATTTATGAGGGAGCGTGTCAAAATGTGACGAAGACTCAAGATTATGAGAATAGTATACCATGTGCAGAAACATCCGTACTTCCATCCAACAGTACAGTGCTACAGAGTCCTCTAGCGTGGCGAGAAGCGCTGTGTTAATTTATCTTGCTACTACGCTTTAAACACATGTTCACCCGACTGAGTAGAGTGTAAAATGTAGTATTTTTTCGTCAGAAAACCTCCACGCAATGTAGTAGGATGATGGAAGCCACTTCACACACAGATGTATACCGTACAAGCGCGGTCGCCCACGATTATGAGACACATTGTCTGTGCGTGATTTTAGTCCAAGGTGTAAACCAAACAAACACAACCAAAGGAGTTGACAATACTGATGATGGGCGAAGCGAGGAGAAAATCCGCCCGCGAGACTGTTCCAATTGATGTGGGCAAAAACTGACTCGAAAACACTCGTTTACATTCCCATTCTTCTTGCGGCTTGGAGGTGCGGAGCAGGGGGCTAGCTCTGACTCTCGGCCTGGTTACCTCGGTGCGCGCCAGGTTTTGGCATATAAAAAATTCACCTATTAGAATCGTTGTATTACTTAATACAGTTCTCAGTTCCTTTCTCAATTCTATGTGGCTCTACAGACTTCTCTGAGAAGATGACCAGATGATTGGCGTGCGTTGACGGTACTCCACAAGTTCACCATTGTTCAGCCTATCTAGCCGTCAAGCAAAGGAGTTGTGAGCACCGAATAAGGATCGAAAAAGACAGTATCCCAGACTTGCTTGGGAGGGAATTATCCCAGTATTGACGTGGTACTTCATAATGGCAAATGTGGCTTACGGAGCGTCGAGCACATTTTAATGGCGAAGGAATACGAGCACAGGGAGAATCACCTAGTGCATTCTAGCACGCCTCGAAGTGTGCCTCACATCTTAACATGCGCTCGACCTAGAGGCAATGGAGAATATTGTATACACTTAAAATCAATGTCCTTTAAATCCAAAAACAAGTTTTATCGATCTTAATTCTAAAACTACTTTACACAACCGAAGCTCTGTGTGTAGTTCTTCATCAGCTCTCCGACACCGCGCACAGCGTGCCCCCTCGTGCTACAGAACGGCTTTGGATTCCCAAAACGCTACAATTCTATAAGCCAAGCAACTACAGTTATTTACACAGCTTTCTACACGCTTCATCGAGCGGCGCGTGACAAGGTTCCAGACATTTACACGTAACAAGCCACCGCTTAGTTATCAAACACTATTTCTCAACCATTGAAAGCAGCGGAGCGCCATAGCCAAAACCCCCAAAACTCATATCATCAACTCTAAGCAGATTCAATGTGATAGTTCCATTATTTCTCTGTTCAAAATTTAATTGCTCAAACTAAAGGAGGAAAGAACGAGACGCACAAAGATACCGTTACGTCATAGGTACTCTTGATTAGTAAGAACACAGGCATGCACCCTTCGTGGTTTGAGTGATGGAGCTAGGCCTGTTTTAAAATCAAAGATGCTCTGTGTTGAGTTATAACTTGCTCCAGTTGTTTCAGTTACCTTTGTGTCAGATTAGCAAAGGTGTGACACCATAAGTGAAGTGATATGTTGGGAGTAATGCTCTGCTGGGTGTGAAAATAAAGACCTGTTTGTCTCCATTGAGGTTTTGCTAGATTAAAAATAATGCTTATTCTGTTACAGTGTGATGCTGCTTAAGTCTGCGTACAAAAAATTGGAAGGACGCAAATAAATACCTGGTTAAGGTAACACGGGTGTCTGTAAGTCAATTCATAATACCTGACAACTGAAGAGACGAGTCAAAAATAAGTTACGTTTTCCTTGTCAGCACCAATGGAAACATTTGACTTAAAAGTCTAGAGTCAGATAATCAGGACAGAATACTGTTTATTTTCTCTGCCTGAATCTGTTCTACAATAATTATTTGTTACTGTTTTTTGGTTTTAGCGAGTCTTATTCTTCTCTATGTTCAAACTTTTTAACAAAGGGTCTCATTAAAGAGAAGCAGCATTTGAAAATTAAAAAAGAAAATTCCAAGACAACAATCACAGGGTTATTTTCATTTCTGACAAATAAAATTTGGACTTCTATGGATTCATTTTATGATTCAAATATAAACACTAAAGCTGCAACTGAGCAGTCGGTTGGTCAAACATGAAAACGCCTGTCAGTTGAGTCACACGACCCCAATAGGCGCTCCACCTCCATCTGTATCTACTGCAATCCCATTTGTTTTGAAGTATAATAACTGTGTCCTCATATAGACAACTTTCTTTTTCAAGGTTGGCCAGCAGACACTTCTCCTTCCTCTGGGCAGAGGGAGCAGGAGGTTTTCTGCGGCCCAAGCTGACACCACCGCAAAACCATACACCTATACATCAAATGAACAGCTGCGGTCAAGAGGGTGTCCACTACACAATGGCTTTCACTCTCAGCATGATCACAAGTAGGCCACTGGAGGCTTGGCGGGTGGTGGTGGTTATTTTTTATTTTTTTTGAAGGAAGCAGGTTACAAGAAAGACAACGGGAGGTCTGGTACAACTTTTTTTCCCTTTACACTGCGTATGTCATGCAGCCTCTGGTGAGCTACAGCACCCTCTGGGCAACAATGAAGATCGTATCTTAGCTTATGCGCGCGTGTTTTTGAAATATTTCTCTTATTAGACAAATAGAAGAGCACCCAATCATTGTCTATTCTACGTCATTAATGACACCTGTCAAAAGCACTGTATGTAATGACCATCTGTCTGTTTGGAGTGTGAGCAGTGAGTCATGCTGGGTTGCACTGCAGGAGATGCAGGGTGGGAACAGCTATTTAACTTGCACAGTAGATAGTGTACAATTGACTGAAAGGTGCCACCTCTGAAGACGGATATCTGCTCTCGACTATAAACACACACACAAAAGTCAGTCAAGGGCAGAGCAGACTCTACTTCAGGTGGCACATACGTCAGACTTGTCCGGATGAGTTTCTTGGGACAACAACTTTGGCACATCTTTATACAGACAACACTTTGCAGATGATTAAACTCCTTGGCTATTCGGGAGGCTGCTACAGTGAACACTGCTCAGTCATCTTGGCAATTCACACGTGCTGGAAGTGAAGGTAAGGGCCAGTTTATCAAAAGCAGGAGACACCTCGAATCTACTTTAAACGCCGCTTGTCAGTATTTGTTTTGTAGTGAAAAATGTTTGGGTAATACCTTGGCACTTGCTCCTTCGGCGGCTCCTGCGGGACCCTGCGAAATAAGAAGACAATTATATGAAAACTCATGCGAGCGCCGCACATGTTATTCATCACAAATACATAACAATTCCATAACCCTATCGCCGCACCCTTATGAAGGACTCAGTGGTCATTGGTCTTTGATCAGTGGGTTTTGGTCAGTGGTCATGAGAATTTGCATAATTAAGATTAAGGAACTGACCTCTCAGCCCATTGTTCCTTCAGTGGGCTGGTTTCAGTCATTATACAATGTACTGTTTATAAGATTGAAACCTGCAGTCAGCTGAGACTGAAGACGTCACCTGGATGAGTGACGAAACGTTTCTGCCTCAAAACGCTGCGTCCAGATGAACAGAATCAACTTTTGGAGATTATGAATGCTATGTTATCCACATGCTCCACCACCTTGGACCTAGTGGCCCCCGTGAAAATGAAGCGTCCTAGATCCTCCACTCAACTCCAGTTAAATGACTCTATACGAGACGTTACGCCGTACCTGTTGTCAATCTGAGAGGAGGTGGAAAAAAGATACGCTTCAGGTATCCCTTTTACGTAGCAGCCGCACTATATATCAGGACTCTGTTAAGACTTCTAAAGCGGCGTTTTTGTCTGACATCATCGTGACTAATACCCATAACCCCCGGGTCCTGTTTAAAATTTTCAATTCTGCGATCGATCCTTGCCCTGATAAAGTAGACTTTGCCTCCCCAGTTCTCTGTGAGCAATTTTTTAATTATTTTACGAGGAAAATCTCACTTCTAAAAACCTCACTCCCTCATCTTCCTGTGGTGAATCCTCTTCCTCCTGGAGGATCTCCGTCCAACTTCTACAAATCTGAACCAATCTCACTTTCTACTCTTAAAGCATAATTGATCAATTGAGAAGTTCAAACTCAGCTCGGCTAATTTATCATTACTCGCAGGCCATGTCCCATCTGCACTTAAACATGCAGTGGTGCAACCTATCCTAAAGAAAACTAGCCTCGACCATACTGACCTTGCGAATTATAGGCCTATCTCTAAACTTCCGTTTTTATCTAAAATATTAGAGAGAACTGTCCTTTTGCAACTACAGGCCTACTTAAATGCAAATAACATTAGTGACAAATTTCAGTCTGGTTTTAAACCTCACCACAGCACTGAAATGGCACTGCTGAGGGTTTTCAATGATCTTCTTTTAATTACCGACTCAGGTTGCTCTGCCATTTTAATTTTATTGGATCTGTCCGCTGCTTTTGATATAGTAGACCATAAAATTATTTTAGAGAGACTGGAACATGTTATAGGCATCAAGGATTCTGCACTTTGGTTTAAATCCTACCTCTCGTGTAGGACTTTCTTTCATGATGGGTTGCTACTCATCCGCCGCTGCCCTGTTTGCCGTGGAGTACCACAGGGGTCTGTGCTGGGCCCTCCAGTGTTGCCTTGTACATGCTACCCCTGGGTTCTATCTTTGACAAACATCAGATCTCCTACCACTGTTATACTGACGACATTCAAATCTATTTCCAGTTGTGTGATGACCTGCCAGCTTCATTGAATCGTTTGTCTGACAGCTTGAAAGAGGTTACAGAGTGGCTGTCAGCCAATTCTCTCATTTTAAATGAGAAGAAAACTGAGATTATGGTGTAGGATAGTCACACTCCACGAGACCAGCTAGCTGCCCGATTTGCTCCCTTTGCTTGCTTTCTTACAGATACTGTAAGTAATCTAGGTGTTTGCCTGGATAGCTCATTTAAGCTGGATAAACAGGTTTCCTCTGTGGTTAAATCTGGCTTCTTCCAAATATCCATGGTCAATCGTTTAATACCGTACAAAGATCTTGAAAAACTGGTACATGCCTTTGTGACCTCCAGATTAGATTATTGTAACTCGCTCTACTCTGGACTCCAACTCGCTCACCTCCAACGGTTACAGCTCCTTCAGAAAGCTGCGGCTCGTCTCCTAACCGGAACTAGAAAGTTTGCCTGTATTACTCCAGTGCTCTCTGACTTACATTGGCTGCCTATTAAATTTCGTATTGATTTTAAAGTTCTGCTGCCTACTTTCAAATGCCTAAACAACCTTGCCCCTGACTATCTCACCAACCTCCTCAGTCTCTATACTCCCAGCCATTCTTTGTAATCATCTGGTCAGTTATTTCTGGCCCAGCCCATGCTCATGTATTAGGGCAATGGACAGTAAATCTGTCAAATAGTGCAGTGGAGCGAAAAGTACAAGTAAAATAATATTTTTTCTTAACCTCCCACCATAGTATAGACAAGTGAGGACATGAGGATTGAAGACCAACAAAATCAGGAATGCAGGAGGCAATTCAGGGGCAAACCTACTTGGGCGAGGCCATGCTGCCGGAGAAATTTAAGAGTGTATACACTCACTTTTGTCTCCTGAAGAGTTGATCCCACTTCAAGGGGCAATAACACTGTGAATATCAGTGAAGTTGATACGAGCTTCTGACCCTCAGCAGGCTGATGTTTAACCAACATTTAAACATTTCACTGTTTACAGCCACCCCACCCTGTGAGGCTGATTCCAAAGCGCAGACACCACCTGAGTCAGAACAGAACCGATTCACATTCACATAGGCCTACCATCATTCAGTCTATCTAATAACACCACCTTTATATAAGACCGCCACCCCGTTCGTTCATATGTCCGTCACGGTTTTTCTGCTCATCAATACACATGCCTGCGGTCTCAGGGCTGAATAGCACACATTTCCCATCATGCTTCATTGGGTGATTTCAAATGGACCAATCATCTTCCCATTACACTGACACCAGTACGTGTGTGTGTGTGAGAGAGAGTAAAAACACATTCACCTCGGAGCAGCGAGCTACAGCCACTCAGCTCTCAGAAATGAGCCGTGTTGTCATGGCAACATGGCAAATGAGAATCCAGCATCCCTGAAACACCTCCAACCTCCAGTGGTTGTTGGTTCGATTCCAGATTAGCCAGGCCTTTACACAGAGCCTTTCAGATTAAATGCACAGGACCAGATGAGAAGCCCCGCCTCGACGTGAAGGTCCCTGATCTGATTGGATGAACTGCGTGTAATCTTAAACTCTCTGGGCTGGTTTAAACAAACAGATCAGAATAATCAGGTGGATTCATAAAGGAAACATACCTGACTCCAACTGTACTGATCGCAGGTAAAGAACTGAGAGGTCACATGACTCAGTGAACAGAAATGTCACATGACACCTGGTTTGTCACGTTTCTGCATCCTCACCAGATGAAACTGTAAAAGATGGCCAGCACGAACACAACACCTGCAGCAGGTGTTGTCTTACCTGAGAGCTGAGGAGGGACCAACAGCAGGTTGGCCGCAGAGGTTTGTCTACGTGATCTCGGGATTATCCGATTGGTTAATAGGAGGCGCTTCTGTCTCCTTGGAAACACCCCCACTTCCTCTGGTGAGAACCAGGTATCAGTGATCTGCAACTACAGTAGCAACATTAGCATTTGCCAGTGTGTGTGTGTGTGTGTGTGTGTGTGTGTGTGTGTGTGTGTGTGTGTGCGTGCGTGTGTGTGTGTGAGCATGCCTTGTCACTGCGTCATACCTTTGCCTGAGATAAACGACATTATCCAAAAGAACCGGAAGCAGAGAGAGGGAGGAG